CTGGGATTTTTTCCCCACGGCATGTAGGTCACTGAGAAGATCCCCTTGGCTTCCTTTGCTACTTCGCTGAGCTTGTCTCCTGTTGCCTGCGCCATCGCTGTTGGCTTCAGCGGTAAGCATCTGGAAGGGCTGAACGCTCGTGTCATTTTCACTCAAAAGCAAGCTAGCTGGCCCGGGATGTCACCTTTCCTTGTCAAGCAGAAAGGGCTCAAGAAAGAAACAGAGCATTGGTGCAAACAGATCAGCTGGCAGGGAGTTCGATTAATGCTGGGTGTTGTTTTTTCACTTTCAAGCATCGGTGTAAGAGCTTCAGACTTGAAATCGTTCTCTGCGCCAGAGGATGCAAAGTGGGGTGGTTGCCTTGAAGCAAGTAAGAAGCCCCCTGAGAAGTTTAGACACTGTGCAGCTTTCACTTGCCTTCTTAAATTGGGGCTGATTGTCCCATCTCAACTGAAAAAAACCAGTGACATCCTTCAGAAAATATTGTCTTTGGCATGTAGTTTGGCTTGCTTTCATGAGTCATCTAAATACAGGATACCTAGGTACTTTTCTCTTTGTAGTCTACCTGGCTCTTATTAGTTAAATAGATGCCATTCTTCAGCTGTTCCCTAAGGCCATTTCAGATCCTGACCCAGCCCTGGATGCTGATTCTAGCCAACAATTGGGAGCGTTACACTTTTTCTTGTTGTAAACATCGTAGAAAGAGAACTGTGTAGTCTAGGGTGGCAAAAAATCAGGAGGAGTCTGTCAGCATGGTTTCCAGAAATGGGGCTACCAGACTCCTCTTGATGTTTTACTTTTTCTGTAGTTCCGCAACATTTCGGCAGACCACCCCATTGTAAAGGTATCTTCTCTGAGCCTGTCCCTTTCTTTGCCCCACAGAACGTACGCTGAGGCTGATCGACCGCACAACAAAGACATCACAGGACTATGCGGGGCACAACGACATGGTTTGTCTCTGCAGATTTGCCCCCTCTGGGAAACGCCTCTTTACAGCTTCCTACAATGAGATCCTGGTGTGGGAAGTCCAGAGCAGGTGAACGGAGACCACCACCTTCACCATCACCCTGGCCTGAAGCCCAGTGGAATCATGCAAAGAGAACGGTCGCTTCTTCACGCTGGAATTACGCTTGTCTCCTCTTGTTACCGTGGGCCAGCCACAACGTCCAGCCCCAGGTTGAGCAGCCCCAAATTCAGGCAGGCGTGTGTTGGAGCTGTCCCTTTGTGGACAGCTAGGCCTCTCCACAGCTTGAATGCCAGTCAGAATGGATTTAGCCACTAGCACAGCCGTCAGTTAAGAGCCTGCAGGATTTGGAAGAAGTTCATCCCCTTTTTCTATTTAGGCTTCAGCATCCTTCTTCTTCCTCGTAGGCTGCCGCATTTCTTTGGAATAATGATGCTAAATTGCCTTACTTCCCAATATGCCCGCAGATGCTCGTTTCTCTCATTTCTTTTTCAGCTCAGCCAAGTAGCTTGAGCAGGCCACCTGAAACCTGAGCCAAAAAGCTGCTTTGCGGGCCCCTTGGCTGTAGAGGTTCCTGGAGCTATGGGGAAGGCTGATAACTCATTGACTTCTTGATCCCTGATGCAGGGGTAGATGCATCAATAGCTAGGGAAGCCCCTTGTCACATTTGGAATTGGCAGGCAGGACTTATCCAACAGCCTTCTTAAAAATGGGATGACTTACAGAATCAGTCAGCCAAACCGCTGGTCTACCCGAGCCTTGAGTCCCATAAATTGGCTGGCAGATTGCATAATAACTGGTCTTCGTATTTCTGATGTCCCCACAGAAATATGGAAGAATTCTTACAACTATTATGCTAATCTCGGCTAAAGTATATGGTCCATGGAAGGTCTGTTGTGAAACGGGGAAGAGAGAAACATGATTGTCTCTTTTATATTGCAGTTGGTTTCAGTCCCTTTATTCTTAGCATTGTTTAATGTACATATGTATGTATATTTCACATATTTTTCTACAACTAAAATAGCCTTTTTTTTATTCATCCTCCCCCAGTACTAGATTTTGATTTTACAGTTGCCTGCTACACTTTCAAGTGAACATTCAGCTGAGAAGGAATGTCTCCCCAGCTCCCCCCCCCGTTCCTACCTCCTGTATTTTCTCAGTAACAGAATCACAAAAAGCTTGTTTTTTTAAAAAAAGAAAGAAACCCAGGGTGTTAACTGCTGAGTAGATTTTATGAGCAGAAGTTTATCTTTTAAAGGATTTCTTATTTTAAAGACCAGGAACTTTCAAGCACATTTTATAATTTGTAAAGATAATGTGTTTTGCTTTTAGAATGCGCTATTAACTAGACACAAGGTTGTCCCTCAGACAGTGGTCAGATACCAGCAATGAAACAAGCCTTTCTTTTGCTTCTTAACCCTTGAAACAACATTGCACCTGTTTTTGTTTGTAATTTATAATAAGAGAAAAGAATTGGATTTGTTTGTATTTTAAATTTTTAAAATTCCAAATAAATTAATAGTTTTGTGTATTCAACCTCTGTTACTTTCTCCCGTTCTAAAAGTTAAGACAATCCAGCAAAATGCTCTCCCTTTTGTAGAACCTGGGGAGCCACAGGAAAATGAGTCTGTATGACCTGCCCCAGGGTGTCTGCAGGGTATGGTCAGAAAAGTCAAGATGGTGGCCAGAAAGGTGTGATCAAAGCTCCACTCATTTTTAAGGGGTGCCAAATTTAAAAATGGGTAGAGATTCAGTCACATTGTCATGGCCGTCATCCTGTCGACACCCCTGACCCCAGTTCTTTCATTCTGGAAACTGCAGATCAAAATACTTAGGTTTCTTTCCTTTTCTCCAAAGAGGCGGGCTAAAGGAGGAAAGGAAGATGGAAGTGGTTGCCAGTTCAGATTTTTCCCCCCAGGCCTAATGATATTTCCTACCCCACTCCAAATTTTTGTAGGCAAACTCTCATCAGATGGTTGATATTTTTGAAGAAAGGCCTTTATGCCCAGCTGACGAAGCAAGACGAGAATTAGGGCCTCGGTAAGAGCAGGCATCCTGCCTCTTAAATTCATTTTTCCAAAGGGCTGAAAGTTGTTTGGACGCCCCCAGACTCTGAGCTCTGCCGTTGTGTCAGCGTGAGGAGCTGCTAGTTAATCTCTGCAGCAGTCTGAGAAACTCTACTGAGCCCTGGAGAGCCCGTCCTGCTCCATCCTTATTCAGAACAAATCTCAAAAAATCAAAACTGGAAATCAATTACATCATTCCAAGGTGGGTTTTTCAGTCGGGGTGCGAGGGCTGCTTCACTCGGGAGCAACAAACCTACAGGATCTATTCTGAATCTGACTAGCCACTAAAGGAGGCAGCTCTCGGCATTGCCGACTGGTTTCAGCTCTCAGTCACACATAGCTATGGAAAATCTCCTCCAATTTTATTTGGGCTGGAGTCTGCCCCATTTTCTCCTTTCAGTCCACCAAATCACAATGAAGCAAAGAGTGCAAGCAGAACAATATGAATTTATTTCTATAAAAAGTATACTCCCACATAAATCACAAAGCAAAGTCTCCTTGAGGCTTTAATTTCTAGAAGGATTTAAATACTCTCACTTTTCAAACGTGGCCTGGAATTCCACTTTAGTGGTTGATAAATACAAAAAGGAAATACGGATCAAAGTGCATCAAAAGAGCTGGCTCAGAAAGAATTCATTTTTGCTTCAAAATACGTTATTAAAAGATACCCCCTATTGCCACCCTAAGAAAATGTACATCTTTCCCAATATATTACTGAAAAACCCTTGCCAAGAGATTAACCTTATGTGTCTCTCAGAAATCTCCGATACAAAAGACTTAGAGGATTAGCAACCTACTGAAGACCTTTCCTGCGTCTCCTATTATTCTAGCCTGTAGAACAAAATTAGTGACTGTAGTTGTGTAACTTTTTAACCTAGGAATCCTGGCTTGTTAAACTACAACCACCAGCATCACAATCTCACACGCAACCCTTTTCCACCAGTTTTTTTTCTGTACGTTGAAAAGAAAATATCAAAAGGTAATGTATTTTTCTGAATCAGCAAGAGAGAGAGAATAAAAAATACACTCACGTACTCTGACATCGCAAGTCATTTACGAATGAAAAAAAATGCAATTTAAAAAGGTCAGCAGGTAAATTCCAAAATATTTCTGCAATTCCACTTGATAAAAGTGGATCTGTAAGTATCAAATATATACAGGCCCAGATAATTTTGATGCCGTTTGGCTACGTGTTCAGAAGATTGCCTACTATGAGTTAAAGCAGTGTTTCTCACCTTGGCAACCTTAAGAATTCTGGGAGTTGAAGTCCACACGTCTTCAAGTCGCTCAGGTTGAGAAACCCTGGGTTAGGATTCTTTATTTCACATGATAAAACATACTCCTGGATTGACAGAAGCTTATGTTGAAGGATATGCTAAATCAACTGGAAAAGCAGTTTTTGGTTCCAATTCGTTAAGTCCAAGAGAGGAGGAAGACGAAGGCAAGCCATAGTCCTGTAAAAAGCTCAAATATTACACAATAATGAGCCATATTCTGTCGTTCATAAACACAAAGAAGGCACCTATGTGTGAGACATAAAACAGCAATTTAATGTAGCTAAAGAGTTAGGTAGCCACAGTTCAGTGACTCGGTAGATGCTTCTAGTGTGAGTTTGTGGCTCAAAGACCTCTGAGGAGCCAGAAGATCTTCCCGAAGGATAGGCACGTCTAGATTTTGATTCAAATGCTTAAACCAGTGTTGTCCAAACTTGGCCCCTTTAAGATGAGTGGACTTCAACTCCCAGAATTCCCCAGCCAGCCATG